CCAGCTGATGCTCAGTGAGCCTGTCCTGACCCATAAAGCCACCCAAATCTACGGTGCTTCAGCACATCTATCACAAACTGCACCGGGGGCCCTTGTGGAAAGTGTGTGGGTGCAACAAAACCCCCCCCAGAACAAGCTCCCAGGAAGGGGACGCGGCGATTCTGTCCGTGGTGGGAGAGCACATCCCACAGCAGCCACACCTCCATCTCCTACCTCCAGTCCTTGTCCTCCAAGGAAACCTGCACAATGCCTTTGGAAGTAAGTCTGGGAGCAGAAATGCTCATCGGCCGCAGACGTGAGACAGACGATGGTTGTGCGGTTCGTTAGGACTTCCCCGCTCCTTCCTCTGAGGTCACCGTGCTCCACAGCCGGGTCAGAGCTCTGTAAATGAACAGGACCGAAGGGGGATAAAGGGCGTCTGCTGTAGCAACCTGTAACTGCTCCGATCGCTTAAATCAGAAGCAGGCAGCATGTTACTGCCTCCCCGGAGAGACGCAATGAACACAATGGGGCTGAAGTTGAGCTCAGGCCGAGCTGCTGCTTTCCCAGACCAGAGCAAGGGCCCGTGTGTGTCCCAGGCACGCGTTGCCTCTCTCCCAACGGTAAAATTGATCCAATAACAGATGTTACCTCCCCTCACAAGTCTTGCTGGAGACTTGCCTTCCCCTGACGAGACCTGCAGAAAATGCCTGCAGGCTGGCGTGGACGATTGAGCCATACCACAGGACCAGCTAAACCCGGACTGCCGGTCCATGTAGGTACCAAACTATGTTGCGTTCGCCAGGGGCTGGGAGGGTCTGACAACACGGCCCGCTGCGGCCGGGGGTAACCCTCCCTCCCCGCGTCCACACAGCTCCAGCCCCAGAGGTGAACTGGAAGCCGTTCCTCTGCTCCCAGCAGTGTTAATGATTCGCCATATACTTGAATGTATTAGCGTATTTATTTTTTACATGTGCATTTGCTAATGTCATTTTAATGGGGAGTTTCCAACCCAGAAGGTACTTCAGTTTTTGTTTTTTACTGGGGTGGTGGGGGAGGGAACAAAAGCAAGCTGCCAAATGAAGTAATATATAGAAATCAACACCACGGGGGTGGAGAGGAGTTGTGCTTAATAAATATTTGTGGTTCAAGCTTCTTCAGGGTTGCTCTTGTGTTTTGGCCCCTCTCGGGTTCACCAGCCTCCATCTGCTGGGCTGGAGCAGGTGCCTTGGCCAGGCTGTGGGGAGCCTGGGGCCGGCTTTGGGGACACTGGGACCCAGGGAAAGCAAAGCCAAGGCCCTAAGGAAAGCTCTGGCATTTAAGCAGCTGCTTAAGGGGACATGTTGGCCCTTGCCCGACTCTAGGCCTCCGCCTGCCAGTGCAGGTCTCAGGGAAACAGTTCTTGCCTCCAAGGGGTCAGCGAAGGCTGTCGAGAGAAGTCTCATTCCCAGGGGCAGACGAGCTGGAAGAGCCCCAGGGGCAGAGAAGCAGCCCATGACCCTGCTCGAGTCCCCCAGGGAGCCTGAGTCCTCGATGTCATGCTGCTCTTGCAGCATCGCTACCCGTCAGTGCAGACAGGAGCAGCGAGCAGTGGCAGCGATCAGCATCCGGCCCGTGCTGCCGACAGCTGAATGGAGCGGGGCACGGACTGCAGCCCCAGCTCTCCATGCTGAACAATGCTCCTGACACATAGATGCTGCAGGATCTCTGTCTGCCCTTGCTGGCTTGGGCACCCAGTGCTCCTGGGGGAGCTGGGCTGTCTGGCAAGTGATGCTGGACAGCAGGTCTCAGGTCAGGGCACAGCTGGACTCTGCAGCCTGGCACACTCGGGGCAGGGAGGTGCGTGCAAGGGGTCTGGGTGCAGATGTCACAAGCCCGAGACTCGGCAGCGAAGGAGCTGGGAGCCTGTGCCCTTCATGGAGCCTCTCGCCTCGCTGTCCCTCATCGGTAGAGAGAGCAGGTGGTGTTTGTGTGCGGCGCCGAGGGAAGTGTCCCTGCCCCGGCCTGCGGGTCACGTGGAGCAGGGGCCGACCACGTGCACCGCTGCTAACAGGCGTGGGAGGGGGGCTGAGATCCCCAGTGATGGGGCAATCTGCTGGGACCAAAGCAGCAGGAATCTGGCTAGCCAGGCAGGACAAGGCTGGGGCACACCAGGCAGCCAGCCCAAGCACCAGGCCTTGTACTGCAGCCCCCCTCTTTGCATACAGCCACATGACCCTTTGCAGGGGCTTGGTGCACGCCATGCAAGGCACAGACCACCAGGTCTGGGCTGGGGGACCTCAGCGGGTCCCAAAGGAGCTGGCTGGTCCATCCGCGGGGGCCAAGGAGCTCCACGCCACCCTTGGGGAAGCTGGCAGAGGGGGCCCTGGGTCCAGCAAGAGCCAGCCAGCCCACACCATGGTCCAGGAGGCAGGGAACCAAGGACTCGGCCCTACCTAGAGCTGCTGCCCTGGGGGCAGGGACCGGGCCTCAGCTGCAGCGGATGCAAATGCAGAGGTCTGGCCAGGTTGCGATGGTGGTGCCACAAGGGCTGCTAGATCCCACTCCCTATCTGCCATCCCTGAGGACTGACAGCTGCCAAGAGCCCTGGGTGCAGGAGGGAGCCTTGCTTGCCAGAGGACAGCAGGGTGGGCAGGCCTGATGTGCTGCCTAGCTGGCTGCGGCGAGCTGTGCTGGGTGCAAGGTGCTTCAGATGCACAACTCTCCCAGGACCCAGCCACCAGCCTCCCTCAGCCCATGCCGACGCCCGCTCACCTGCTGCACTCGCCAGGACACGTCCTCCCCAGAGAGGCTGGTCGTGCTGCTTCCTCCCAGCAGGCTCACGGTGCCTCCTCCTTCAGTAGCACTTCTGCTCCCTGTGTCTGCTGGCCAGGGTGTCCCACCCTGGAGCAGGGTCTGGGGGCAGCCCAGGGCCAGCTTAGGCTGCACTTCAAACACCTGTGGAGGTAGGAGAGAAGGCATTTGTCAGGTGCTGGAGCCAGGGACACTGGGCAGCTGCAGAGACAGGTGCCCCTTGCAGCCTGGCAGAGGCTCAGCTCCTCCCTGGAGCACTGCTGCACCACTGGACTGACTCCCTCTGTCCACCCTGCTCTGTGCTCCACAGCCCTCGGGAAGAGCAGCACTTGGGAGGTGCCGTCTCCTGTAGCAAAGCAGCTAGGGCTGCTCCATGTGCCTTGCACGGCCACTCCCTAACTGCCCCATGTCATCCAGCTGCAGCCGGGCAGCAGGACACAACTGCCCAGGGCGAGCGCTCGCTGTTGGGCTAGAAGGGGCCTTGAAGCTGCAGCCGGGTAGGCTTAGGGCTTCTCCTGGACCCTCAAGACCTCGTGCCCGTCACTTGGCTGAGCCTGGCGTTCCCAGTGTGTCCTGCGCTGGTGACATCCACGGATGTGGAAAGCACCCCTGGGAGACTGGGTCAAATCCCCAGCTGGGGACAATGGGAACATCACGCTTGGATGCCCACCTACACCAGACTGCCCGTTATCTGGGCTCCGGGAGGGCGAGAGCCAGGGAGGCCCAGGCAGCATTTGCAACAGCAGCCAGTGCGGTGGACCCCTGTGGCTGCCCCTCCAGTGCTGGGTGGGCCTAACTCAGCACAGAGCCAGTGGCCTGGGCATGCAGGATGGCACTGAGGAAGGGAGTCACCGACTGTCGCAGCAAGGGCAGGCAAGGGCAGAGATGGGGGGACAGGACTCCTGGCTCCATCCCCGGCTGGGAAAGGCTGGGTAATGCTCTGGACTGGGGCTCAGGAGAATGGCCGACTGTTGGATGACTCCGGGCGTCCCTGGCCAAGCCCAGACCCACGTGCTGGACAGGAAGGACTGTTTCCTGGCTGTGCCTAGCCAAGGGGGTCCCGAGCTACTACACTGCTCCTGAACTGGATCGCCCCTGTGCCCCTGTGTGGAGGCAGGGTGCTGGGAGGCGTAGGCATGGGCAGTAACTGAGCAGGGAGCCTGTTCCCCAGCATGGCATGTGCTGGGAACACCACCTGGGCCCCAGAAGAAGCCCGGCAGGCAGCACTAGCAGGTTGCTAACACCCCATCTTCCTGTCCTGGTAGCCATCTCCTCTCTGCCTCCCTCAGAAGGTGCAAGACCCCCTGCAGCGCACGCCTTCCCCAGCTGCTAGTGCTGTCCCCAGCTCCCATCCCTTGCACTAGAAAGACTCCAACTTTCCTGGCTAGTGCCCGCGCTCTTCGTTCGCACGACCCCGAAACACCCCCGAGCAGTTCTGGTGCAGGAGGAGACGATGCAGAGAAGGGCAACAAGGCTGCGGGGAGGGGCGTCCAGATGAGGAGAGGCAAAGCAAGCCAGGCCTGGTCCCGCTTGAAGTGGGGACAGGAGAAGGGCTCAGAAAATACTAAATGGCAAAGAGGGATTTATTAGCAACTGCCTGCCCTAGACGAGGAGGGGTCACCACAAGGAACAGTTTAAAAGAACGTCCTTGTGTTCCTTCACCCCATGGGAGCATCTGCAATGCTGCTGCGGGACATATGAGAGCGGACAAGACAGACCTAGGGTCTGACCCAGTCCACGCCAGTCTTATCACAGAGCTGGAAAGGATCTCCCCCCTTCCCTGCCCCCGGAGGTCCCATCTAGTCCAACCCTCTGCCTAAGGCTGGGTCATCCCTAATCAAACCATCCCCTACAACCATCATGTAAACTTCTCATCAAACTACCCTCAACCCTGACACGACACAGACTGAACACCTGAACCTGGCACAGGAAAAGCAGGGGAGCCTCAGCCGCCACTGTCCTGCTTCTCTTCCGTGTTAGTGATGTTCTTCTTTGCAAAGAGCTCAGAGCACCGCAGGCCCTGATGTGCGCGACACTGCAGCCTCCTGCTGGACATCTCCATGTTCGCCATGCAAATGCTCCTGCAAAACCTCCGTGCTAACTGTGCAGTGGCCCTGGGAGGATGTTGAGGCACCTGATTGGGAAACATGGCTTTAGATGAACCAGCTGCAAGCCCTTAATGCTCCAGGCACCAGCCCTTCCCTGTTCCCTGCTTTTCTCACTGCTGAAATTAGCTTTATCCTTGCAGCTGTGAATGTACCTACTGCTCCAAACTACACCCATGGTCCCATAGAAGGTGTCACCAGAAAAACAAACAAACCCTTCCCCTCCTGCATCCTCTGGAGCACGAGCTAGCACCTGCACAGACACACTTTCCTTCCCTGCACCCTGATGCTGGGGCACAAGGGATTTGGGAAGGGTGGCATATCTAAGAAATCAAATAAAACAGCCTTGCTCAAACCAGCTCCATGTTTGGGAGCAGTTATGCAGGCTTTCATGCACAAAATGCTCTTTCTTAGGTCTGAGACAGGTAAAGATAGCATTTTTTTTTTTTTTCCTCCTCCCCAGAGGGGAAGAGAAGGGCTTTTTGTGCGTGAAAGCCTGCCTAACTTCACTCCCAAATATTGCTGGTTTAATAAAAGATATTACTAAACAAACCTGGCTTCTCATACAAGACTATAGTCCTACAACACATAACTGAGGCTGATTTATATGCCCCCTCCAGCCCTGTGATCTTCAGCCTTTTTCATTTAAATGCACACCCTTACTAGCAGGCACTGAGCACAGCTCCGAAGGAGGATCTATAAATCTACTGCATGGAAGGTAGCAGCCACCCAGCTTGTGACTTACCCTTGGGCTGGTTCCCCTGGCTGGGGGCAGATAGAGGAGGAGAACGAAGCGGGGGTCTCCAATCTAGGCCCTGCAGCATCCTGCATTCCTCCTGCCAACCCTCCTTGTAGGACTGCAGCCAGACACTGAATAAGCCAAGCCGCTGGGCTGCAGTTTCCCCACAAGAAAGCACTTTGTACAGACACATGTGCACCTCAGGAAGTAATTCAGCAGAGAAAGCAAAGCAAGAGCGGCAGGAAGCATGCTCCCCTACAGCAGGATCACTTTGGTTTGCAAGCACAAACAGTTAAGGGCCCAGACACAGCTGGGGGAAGAATCAGGCCCTTTGCAGGCATTTTTGCTCATGTACAGCGCCTGTGGAACTAGCCCTACCATGTGCCTGGGTGCAGATGGTGGTGAGGACTCCACAGCCCCATAGAGTTAATAGCTTTTAGGGTCAGAAGGGACCTATTAGATCAAGTCCAACCCCCTACCCTGGGCAGGAAAGAGTGCTGGGTTCAGATGATGGCGATTTACCTTCTGCGTGTACCCATATTAGCAAAGAACTAGGCTTGGAAAGAAAGAGCGGCACAGGAGCCTGCAGAAGAAATAAATCTGGTTTTAAAATCAATCATGTGTAACAAGGAGGGTCTCAAGTCCTGTACAAACATGTGGCTGATCTCGGGTTAAGCAGCCCAGTGCCAAGTTAAGAAATCAACCGGAGGACAAGGCTTTTGTGCGGCTGAATTTATTTACAAGAACCATGGACGTCTGTAAAGCACAACGCGGCACTGCGGTCTCTCTATCCCCAGGGACATCCTGGGGATCAGGTCGGGTCCCTGCCTCCGGACTCAGGGGAACCTCCCCCACCGTCTCCCTCTGGGGGGTGGCTTTGGGGCACTGCGTCCGCTGCGTGCTCCAGGAGCAGCTCCAAGGCGTCCTCGCCGACAACACGCCTCACCTTCTCCCCCTTGGCCGCAAGGATTTCCTCAATATTCCTTTGAGGCAAGGTAAAAACCAACAGTGACAAGGCAAGGGGGGCTAGGAGGCTTCACCGAGACGCTTCGTTTTTACTCTCAATACGCGTTTCAAATTCTGAACGTAAGCCCAACATTTGCCCCCCTGCTCAGCTATCTGGGAAGCTACGTTCATCCTACGACAGTTCAATTTGGCAACTGCAATTATGGAGGGTGGGTATCCAGGTTGTAGCCCTAATGGTCTAGAGGAAAAAGCAATCGGGACTTGTGGTAGAGGTGATATCTTTTATTAGACCAACTAGATTTTTGCAGATGAAAAAGTTTTGAATTGCAAGCTTTTGGGCACAAACACCCCTTTTCAGGCACGAATGACACCTGGATACCTGACACATGGAAGATATCGAATTGTAGCTGATTTTTTAAAATGAAATCTTCATGATGTCACAAGGGGGAAGCACCTTTGACCACCTGAAACCTGAGATCCTGCTCCTGCCTTTGTTCAAGGTCATTTGCATCATCCCAGATCCTCACAACAGAGCTCAGGGACACCTTACCAGCTATGAACTGCCTGCCCAGATGAGGTTTCCATCTAATGACTCCTCAGTGAAATCCTATGAAATATGAACTCGCATTTCTACCCAGGAGGACTTTTACACAGTCTTTTCTCTGATGCCTGATGAAAGGTGCTCATGCCTGAAAGCTTGCAATTAAAGACTTTTTTTTTTTTTTTTTTTTTTTTTGTGCAAAAGTCTAGTTGGTTTACTAAAAGATATTGTTTCTACCACGAGCCCTGATTATGGAGGGTAGGAATTTTTAAGGGAGTTGGACACTGCTGAAATGCAATAGGATTTATTAAATCCCTCATAGGAAACAAAAAGAGTCGCATCCAACCATTGGTCTGGGGCAGCACCTGTGATACAGTGTGCTTCCTCGCTGTCTTGGTGCCACACGCTGGGTCGTGCTCGACTAACTGCAGCCGACGCGGAGCAGCGAAGCCCCCCAGCAATAACCCTCCTCGAAATGAACCAAGTCAAGAGCATGCCAAAGCCACCACGAGTTCAACCCGGTTCGGATCAGCTGAAAGGCCTGGCTCGCTGCCCCCAGGACTCCTACCTCTTCCCTTCCAAATCTGTGAACCATCCCAGGTTATCTGCTATGATGTGGTGGTTCTGGCAGCCAGGGCATTTCACTATCACCACTCCCTTGTGATACGCTACTTTGGAGATAGTTTTCGCAGATCTTGTCTTGCAGACCTAGAGAGCAAGGAAGGAAGCTCAGCATCAAGGTGCTCTTCAGGATTTGCGTTTTTTTTTCCTACGCAACAAAAGCAAGGCTGTGATTATTTAGCTGCAACGGGCTGGCTTCTCCAACTCATGCATGCCAGTGCCATCTCATTAAGGTCCTGCACAAGCAGGTACTCAGAACTATGCTGCCTACTTGCACTGGTCGAGCTCGGGGTGGTAGAAGAGCACAGGCCCAAATGCATCCGACTCTCGAGCCCAGTTCTCTGACTTTTGAGCCCAGCTGATCTTTCCCCCACTCCCCGCAAGAAGGATCATTTGGAAACACAGGGGTTCGTAGCTCCAGGGAGACGTGAACCCGCTGCTGGAGTCCGGCGCGCCCGGCTGGTTCGGTCCCGACTTTGCTTGTGGTGTTAAATACCGGGGAGGAAAGAGGGGGTTTTAGGTGCATTTGGGGCAGGTTTTCAAGGCCCGCCCTTGGGAGAAAGCGGCCAAGGAGGCAAGTGAGTCTCTTCTGAACGAGCAAGAAGCTGGGTACTGCCAGGCGGTGCCAGGTCCAGGCCGGGTGTCAGCGAGGCTTTCCCTCGGAGGGGCAGAACGGGAGGAAACTCGTGGGCCGCTCTGCTCCGTCCCCTCCCGCAGGCCAGGGGCCAGGAAAGCCCGAACCCCAACCCGCCGGGCCCGAGCTGAGGGGTCTCCTGGCACGGCCCCCTGCTATGCACGCACCCCCCACACGTCCTTGCACGCACCTGGCACGTGTAAACCAGGCAGTAGCGGGCGACGACCCCTCCCACGGCGCTGCCAGC